GAGGGGTCTTTCTTCTAGACTGTAAGTATAAATTTGTATGCTTATTATCTATGGTAGAATTTGACCTATACTTTACCTTACCTGAGAGTATAAACAAAATAAGGTAGAAGATGTAAATGATCTATATATAGGAGATATAGGATAGATCCGGCATCAAATAACATAACACAATTCTTCCTTTTTTCTTTACAGCAAGATGATGTTTAGGTAATCATTAAATAAAGTACAGAATTGTTTATTATTGGTGTTTTGTCTATTCTTATTTGAGTTTTGCTTCGCATTCAAAATATCAAAAAACATGTTTTGTAATGTTAGCATTGTATAATGTTAATTAGACCATTATAGGTTGAACTGAAAGAAAAATTGGAATTTGAATAAAAAAAAACATTGTAGCAATATAATATCACATAATATTTTTCAGAAGATAGTTCAATCTGTAATTGTATCCCTTCCATCAGTAACACAATGAGTTTTTTTGGCACATGCATTAAGCAGGGAACGCAAATATTTATTTGGATAACTTTAAATAAAACGAGACCGTAATATTGCATCCGAAAAACAAGGGGTCTGAGAACGCGGGACTCTGTGTGCGGGTGTTATACGATCTTTTGAACAGCAGGAGGCGCTGTCTCGGAAAACGAGGGGTCTGAGAATGCGGGACTTTAGGTGCGGGACTGTAGTTGCAGGCTCCGAGTCTGCAGCTTCATAATATTGGTATCAGTGAGAATAAGGTCATTGATTTCTTCCTATTCGAGCTACAGGCTTTCTGTGCGCTGGTTACACACTGAAGTCTCTGCTTTCCTGTAACATTTGATGAATATTGTCATATATCAGTGATATAAGCTAGTTTCTCTATATGTGATGATAGTAGTGTGTATATATGAACATATAATGCAGAGTTAGCGAGTATTTAATCATATTCATGAGCGGAGCATGCTGGGAACTTGTCATTGGTCGGCTCCTCAACCCTTTACTGGACAAAATTGTTCACTAAACACTTCATCTTGTTTATTGACATTTCCAATACACTTATTTTAAGTTGAAAATATACCAACAATTTACTCTTTGTCAGTCCATAAATAAAAAAATCTTTGCGTAACAAAGGCTGTACATTTCACAATTTCTTCTACGCTCTTTTTAAATGGCAGGTTTAGTAAAAATTATAAATATATTCATACTTGGGTTAATCTAATTTACTTAATTCACTGTCATATCTGAAAAACTTTGCAAGAAACTGACTAAAAAACTTTTTGACCTTTTTGCGTGTGAAAGTTTATTGGCGGAAAACAAACGTTTTTGCGAGCGAACGCTAGTTTCTCTGGGGAACGCAAAAGCATTGACATTATTTTTCCTCCCATCTTTGTTCCTTTAGGGGCTTTTTCTCTCTGATTAAAGATTCTTAATTCAAAATAAAAGATAATAATAATAATAAAGTTTTCTATGGTCACACAGGTTTGTTTGCATGTTAAACCCATGGCTGACGATTATGTCCTTTGCCGCTCGCCGTATATGCTAACCTAAGTAGGCCAGTTGAGGAAGAGCGAAGGGAGCGTGTATATCCTGATAGGAGGTCATAAATATAGCTGGGTGCAAGATTATGGAGGGCTTTGTAAGTGATGACGAGGGTCTTAAAGTCAACACGGAAGTGCACAGGGAGCCAGAGTGATAAGGAGAGGTGTGATATGATCAGATGGTCTGGAACCAGTGAGTATTCGAGCGGCAGAATTCTGAATAAGTTGAAGTCTATTTAACAGCTTAGAAGGGAGACCGATGAGAAGCAGGGAGTTGCAATAATCCAGACGAGACGTGACCAGGGGTTTCAGTGCTGGCTTGTGTCAATGAGGGTTTAAGCCTGGAGGTATTTCGGAGATGAAAGAACGAGGCCCGGGTCAGCAAGTGTTTGTGGAAAGTATTTATACTATTTCCAGTTCATTTTTTATGGTTTATTGTTCAGCATTAATAATGGCTTTAAAGACTCCAGATAAAAGAAGTTAAATTACTCACCCTCATGTTGTTCCAACTCCGCAAGACTTTCGTTCATTTTCGGAACACAATAGAAGATCTTTTTAATGAAATCTGAGAGCTTTCTGTCACTCATGACAGTCTACGCAATTTCTACATGCATTTCTGTAAAAACGCAGAAAGACACAATCATGTTTAAATGCTGTACAGTGCCCTCCACAAATATTGTCCCTCTTCATCCTCTCGGTCTTTCCTTAAAATTATAACCTTAAATAAAAAAAATATATATTATTGGAATACAGTATATGAAATGTATGTGTCCCACAGTTATTGTCCCCCTTCATAAATAAATATATAGCTCCTTTATTTAGGCTCAGTAATTTCACTTTAATGGCAACTAAATTACCTCGTTAAAAAAGAAATGTCAGATGGACTTTGAGGATTTGCATTTAAAGTCTTCGATCACATGCATTTCAGTTTATCACTGAACTGCAGTTATTGTATAGGCCTAGGCTACTTCATCATACTGCAAATCTACAGTTGTACTTCAGTGTACTGCAGTTATTTTTTGTAAGGGTAACATTAGAATACAATACATACAAATACACACACCCACACAAATATAAATATATATATAATATAACAATAAGGTAATAATGTTCAGTTCAAATAAAGTATCAAAAGCAAGTAGTTGTTCTATGGTTTTATAGAACAACTGTTAAATACATGATATAAACCATCTTATGTGAACATGTATAATAACACACGCCTGCAGAGGGCGCCACTGTCCTGCTGATTATTACACTCTACAGCAGATCTAACCCTTAAATACTGGACTAACATTTCATTTACATGTTTAGTTCATCTGTAATATTTGCACACTTTACGATAGAAATGCTACAGCGACTGTAATTTCTTCTAGAACATGTGGACTTCAAAACATGCAAACTCAGAGCGATGATTAAAACTTATTTTCATATATTTAGAAACATATTGATGTATTCTCCAGTGTTGGCGTAGGTTTACAAATAATTGACCTTACACATCTGATGAAACGGCTCACATTCGTCTCTGATAGACCACCATCTTCTCTCATATTAAAACATTCATTATATCCAGCCAAGTTTCAGATATGGATTTCTCCTTATAAATGTGAACATGGGGCCAGTTCTCCTCTGGCCAACAAACCAACAGTGTATGATTATGATTATGAATATGATTCAGGCAGCATTACAGGTCAGAAGTCAGACTGGATCAGAACATTCACAACATGCATCAGTGGATCTGGTTGGAGGAGTCGTACGCCGGTGTGGAGACGGGTTTGTGGAGTCATGAGGCCTTCACACGGCCCATGAGCTGACATCCTGGTCTCATTATATTTCTTATATAACTTTTAGCCTTCTTTTATTAAGTAATTTATAACTATTCTTAATTTGTGGTAAGATTTGTCATTTATGTAGAAATTATGTATTGTTTCATTTTGTGTGTGTATTTGTATGTATTGCCAATCCTTTGCCAATGGTCTAATGTTATTGTTATTCGAGCATTAGGCCTACTAAAAAAAAATGAATTGAAAATTAAACCCCGCACAGTAGGTGGCGCTATGAGCCTACAACCTTTGTTTGTTTGTTAGTCGCCAGTAAACGCATAAAAGACGAAGAAGAACATCAAAAAACAAACAAACATGGCGGAGCAGCAGCAGGAGCAGGAACAGCAAGAAGACCACCCCCACCCCGTGTCGGCCCTCCACACTCTCGGCCAGAGGAGGGGGGTGGAGGTGGTCTTCGTCCGGGAAGGCCACACCGGACCCCCGCACGCGCCCAGGTAAGATGACCACATCTAGAGAAAACTCTCCAGCTGCTGTGTCTGTGCGTTTACTGCTGTACGCGTGGAATGGATATTAGGCTAGTTGTGTTTTTATGGTGTTTTTAAACCAGTCAAACATTCCGTAAGTGTCCTTTGACTGGTTGATTTAAATATTCTTCGATCATATTTAGCTACAAATAAATGTTTTGCAATAAGACTAAATGTGAATGATATCCAAGTTTTTTTTTTTTTTTTTTACCTTATTGGAATCGAAATTTGGAATCGTTAAAATTCTAACGATACGCGACCCAAAACTCTCCGGTCTGCGACGTTCATTTGCTGTAAGGAGAAATCCATGTTTGAAACTTGGCTGGATATAATGAATGTTTTAATATGAGAGAAGATGGTGGTCTATCAGAGACGAATGTGAGCCGTTTCATCAGATGTGTAAGGTCAATTATTTGTAAACCTACGCCAACACAGGAGAATACATCAATATGTTTCTAAATATATGCAAACTGTTCCTCGCGGTTTCTAAATACGTTTCAATCATCGCTCTGAGTTTGCATGTTTTGAAGTCCACATGTTCTAGAAGAAATTACAGTCGCTGTAGCATTTCTACCGTAAAGTGGGCAAATATTACAGATGATAGGGCTGGGCGATATAGAGCCGAGGTTAAAGGGATAAAAAGGGACGCTTCGGTCTTTTCCGGAAAGCGCCAGAAGTGATCTCTCGCGCGTGTACGTCACTCATACAATTTTTTTTTTTTTTTTTTTTTTTTTTTTTTTTTACGACGGATTAAACAATTAAACGACGGATTTTTCCCTCTGTGCCGAAATGTTTCGCGGTGTTGTTGGTGAATTATAAAAAAAAAAAAAAACACTTCCGCGCAGGACTTCACTGTGAGCGGACTGTTTAGAGACGATGTGACCGGCGGCATGTAAGGTTAAAGTTATCTGCTACTGTAGCAGAGCTGCAAGTTTAACTGAAAGAACGAGCAGAGAGAGAGAGAGAGAGAGAGAGAGAGAGAGCCGGTCGCGCGCGCGCACTCTCTCTCTTCGGAATACAGGGTCATGGAAAAGGCATGGAAAAGTATTGGTTAAAATGTGTATGAACCCTGGTGTATGCTCTTTGAATACATGATCATGCACTCGCACACATGCGACCACATACAATTTAAACTCGCACATTCTCAAAACATGCCGTCTGGAACCTGATTTTAGCACTCCCGGTTCCCTCGCTCTAAACTCTATGGGATTTTTGAATGGGTTTTTGCTAAATCGCCTGAAATAAGGTCTGTGAACAAAGCCTCTAAATATTTTCACGTTTTGATCTATGACATAGAACACACAGTTATAACTTGCTTGTGTTTTTTTTTTAAACTTTATTGTGTCTGCTTGTGTTTTTTAAAAACTTTATATAGGCTTCAAAATGTATACATTTTGGATTAACTTGTAAAGATTATCTTGATAGACAAAACGTGTAAGGGTCACAACTCTTTGTTAAACGCAGATCTTATTTTTGGCGATTTTCCTAAAGTCTATGGGGAAAGTGCATCGCTTTTCGATCGAGGGAACCCATGTCCGAGTTGCTCCGAGTTGGCCTACAAAGTGACGTCATCACTTCGGCACTCTATTGCCTCAGTTATTTTATATTTATTACATGGCTTGGTTGAATTCTAATGTAGAATGCAGCCTTTTTCTTGATAACACACCGTTGCTCTTCAATACAATCGTTTTTAAATCAATAAACTCCTTTTTAAATCAATATTTTGTCAAATTATTGATTTATTTGGTAGGTAGCCATGTAATAAGTGGGATAATGAGGCGGTTGTTAGCGAATACAAACCCTTCAGGCCCTGATTCAAGACCCTCTAGAATCAAGACGCTCTACATTAGGCTATCCCTTATATAAATAAATGTTTTTTATTAAAATGAATTAAAAAAAGATAATAAAGGCTTTTGTTTGTGTTGGCCTATTTTTATTACCACAAAAAATATAAAATTGATGGATTAGCCTACTCTACCAAAATAATGGTTAGTGACAGCCCTAATATTGATTATTTTACATCTTATAACATGTTATGATTTTAATGTAAGCCCTACGTGTTTTTTGCAGATGCCACTGATGAATGAACTTTTCCGTGTCAGCGTCTCTTATTTAGCCATCATTAGTCGTTTCTGCACCAATCAGATGTCAAGGTACACAGCGAGTTAGTGTTTGGGGTAAATCAGGAAAAGTGTAAGATAGGGAAAAGCGTTGAGGCTTTGCTAGTGGTTAAACTGCTGCTCTATACGCTGTCTTGGCCAGAAGACACACATTGAATAATGCTGTTTCAAGGCTTTTAAAATATTCTAATTAAATTAATACTAATAATGATTATTAAATACTCCAGGGCACTCATGTGTAAAAAGCCTTTCGTTAACTGGGCTAAATAATTAAAAACAATTAAAGGTGTAGATCTGTGTGTTCCAGCGACACAGCCTTTTCCAGGATACATATCAAGTCTTCATAAGCAATATTAGTAATTAGTGGATCATCAGACAGTGGCTAATATAGCCTCTTAGCATAACTCCACTTAATCTGCAATAAATAAATAATTAAAATTATACATGAGTGAGTGTGTGTGTGTATATATGCTTATATATATATATATATATAGTATATTAATTCTATACTATATATTAGTTAATTAATATATAGTAATGCTACAGGATACTTTAATTCTATCAGCCAATGATAATTCTGAAAGTAACGTGTCGAGAGCACAGGTCAGTGGTCAACAGCCGACTGTTGCTATAGTAACGCACAACTTCCATGCGCAGCTGATTGACAGATAAACTGTGCGCTCTTATTTCAGTGACAGAAGCAGCATTTACATACAAGTGTGTCAGGACTGGGGCTTGTTCTTCGTACGTTGCCTAAAACATCCGAGATCAATTGAGACATCCAAGATGATATCATCGTGCTATTCATGATCCGGCTAATTGGGTTCTTCGAACACACCTGTTGTTTATGATTAGTATCGCTGGATTGAGTTATCTGAGATAATTGCGCGTTCATGCGCTGGTTTAAAAGGGGATATGTATCGATAGTAGAAACATTGATCAGCAACGCTTCTATTGGCTGCTCACCGTGGCCAAAGAGCGCGCTCAGTTTTACTCTGCAGCAGAGCAAGAGCTATTGCTTGAAGGATATGCAGAATTTGAAAACTTAATTACAAGTTTTCACCTAAAATGTGCAAAGCCAGAAGAGAGGGCTGGCAAAAAGTAGCAAATTAAGTTTGTAGTGACCATTTAGATGTTTTTATCACTTATTACAGTAGCTATATATTTTTTTATTTTAATAATTTCTAAATAATTAATAACTTTGTTCATTGTAATGTCAGTCACCACCCACTAACATGGGAACAAGTAAAAGTGAAGTTCTAGAATATTCTACATAATGGTATATAGGCAGTCTCTTTTAAAAAGGCACTGTTAATAAATGTTTGCTTGTTTATAAAAGCAACCAAGAAAAAGGCTGATTTAAAAAAAGAAAAGAAAAACAAACAGGTGGTGGTCCTGCACCCCCACATTATACCCCGGCAGAAGAGCTGGCCCTTGGGTTGAGTGTGAACCGACCCGTCCTGGGTTCAGCTCTTCCTCAGACACACAGCAGGGACCAGTAGCAGCAACTCCTTCATTACTGGTAAATGAACTTTAAATGATCTTACACTGTAAAATATTTTTTTTGCTGCACTATAGGCCTATAATCCCAATGGCTGGTCCAGTCATATCAGCTGTTAAACCTTGAGTAGGCCTAGTGATGAATTGCTTACTTGTGAAAGTGTGCATGTGTGAAACTACATGTAGTTAATGTAAAAAAAATATGTTGCCATGAGTTATTGATCACATTTCCCCCCAGTGTACTTCATTGTAATGAAATTGTGTTTTCCTTTTTTGTGCAGTTTTAAACACCAACACATTTATCTGTTCCTGGCTGATCCATGTGCAGTAAGTGGACTTTTCCAAACTTTACATCAAAAGGAAAAAAAGTACAACACTTTGTAATGCCCATTTCCCCACCAATGCACAGGACAGTGAAGAAACTCTCTCAGATGACTGTCTTTTGGAGAAAGTATATTTAAATAACTTTACTTAATTTACACTTGAGTACCTATTATTTCTGAATGCAATATGTGTTGCAGGAGTCCACATCAGAAGAGTCTGCATACAGCAGTTAGAGGTGGGCAGTGTATACTTTTCCTTTTATTTTTTGTTGCATAAGGCTTGTGTCGACAGGTTTAACCCAAGCCCCCCTGCCCCTAGAAAATAGAGTATTTTTATCAGGGGGAGACTTGACAACTTAAAGAAAAAACTGGCACTATAGAGTTAGAGTTGCTTCAAAGGAACTTCAGAGTAAGTGCTAATGTATTATTTCACACAGAGTACTATAATTGCTGACCTTGCATAGTATCTCTTATTGCAGGCAAAATATGACTTGATCACTGGCTTTTCTTTACAAAGAACAATTTAAATAAAAAATCAAAGAACTAAGCATATTTGTCTTGTTTTTTATTAAACATTTAATGAAATGTTTTATATTTTTGCTGATGGTGGAAATGTTGTGTAATATGGCACAGGTAATGTCACAGGCCCAGTCAAGTGCAACCCTCAGGCTTTTCAGACACTGAAATCTTCCCTTTAGTTGGCCAAAGTTAATTTCATTGTGTGACCATCTCTTGGCTAGAGCTGCATTGTAACTGTGTATGTAATACAGTGAGCTTGATATTTATATTTTTCCTTACCATGTTCAAGTAATGTGCATAAATGTGAATCTCTGTGCTTCCACATTTGTGATATGGAACAGTCACACACCATCTAGAGATTTTAGTCTGTCAACTGCCTTTTTTAAATTTGATATAATATTACTAATCTGGAATATTAAGAATTGTAATAGTAACTTGGCTGCACATTTACATTGTGATCCCCCTTTCTGTTCACAAAATCCCCTTCATAGATGCCTTGATGGGAACATGTGTGCAGTGTATTGACCAATCACATTAGTGAAGCCTGAGGAACATATCTGTGTCATATTAATCGGCATGTTCGTGATTGCATGATGTTCATTAAAAATTATAATATACCGGTGCGTTGGCAAAAAAAAAAAAAAACCTGCTATACAACCTTGGGTCTAAACTGGCTTGGAAATGCCACAAAAAAAACACCCTAAAAACTGCTCGAGCGCCAGGGTAAACTTTGTGAATGACACGACAGACAGCACTTATCAAGTTCTCCGCATCTCCAATAGTTTAAAGGAAAGAGCCACTCGCAAATAATATCAGGACACACAGTTTGTGCTGTTATTAAAGCCCGACTCCGACGAGTCGAACATTTAATGTGTGTTTTCAAAAAATAATTGATGTAAACGACATCCTCACGAGTCATGAAAAAAATTATATCTCTCAAAAAGTACACTATCGCGCTGCGTTAAAGACTTCTCGTTTCACCTCCGCTTATAAAGCCGCGATCTAATCCTGTTTACATGAAATAAGCCTGCTCACGAGCAGGTTCAAGCTGGCGCACATGTTCCTATGACAGCAAGTCTAGGATGAGCTTCGAAGAACCAAACGATCCAAGATCATGCCAAATCGCCAACAATCAAATCCAGCTAACTGAGTTAGCGACGTACGAAGAACGAGCCCCTGATCACACACTGAGCTGTGTTTGTGTAGATGCTGTGTTCATGTAGGCCTACATGTTGTGCATAGGGATGGGTAGGCCTACAAGTTCAAGTTCATTTATTTGTCTCCCATGGGAGAAATTTGGTTTAGAGACAGGGTACTGCTGCATAAGCAAACATAAAACATATAGACAGCATAAAACATAAAAACATCCAAACAAAGTAGAGGATACATAACTGGCAACTAGATAGGGACCAAAGTGCAAGAGGATAGGGCTTCACTACTTGAAGTAAATTGCAATACACGTTAAAAAATTTTTTTTTTCCCTACATTTGCTCATTAATGAGCTTAACCGACACTGGGATAAAGGAATATTTGTACCGGTTGTATTTACATAAGGAGACCCTGCATCTTCTCCCTGAGGGCATCTGCGAATATTTGCTGAACAAAACATGTGAACTGTCATTTAAAAAATGTTTTGCCTGAGTAAGGACAGCCTCATTGAACAGTTCCTGAAGGTTAAGGGGGGGGGGGTGACCCATAATCCTGCCCGGGTATCGTTTTAACGGTATTACTACTCTTACCGGTGCTGCTTATCGATCCGGTACTTTAACGGTATTCTTATCGGTTCTTTTTGTTTTATTCATATGTAAGGAATAATTGACGACGGGCTGTTGAATTATTAGAAAAATAATGCACACCCGAGGTGGTAATGCGGTCACGACGCGACGAGAGTTTTGTTGAAAGCTCTGTCCAAATATATAATTATTCCCGTTGTCTGTGGTGTGGTCGGGTAGGGATCCTGTCCTGTCTCAAAGATGTTCTCATTATAGTAAGGAGATTCAGAGGGAGGAATATAGAGAGCACATAAGAATATATCTTTTGTAGTTTGGCTGAGCTGTTTATTGATT